AAAGCAACAAAGCAGCTCAGCGAGGCTCAGCATCTTGTTTTGATATTTCCAGGGTGGAACATTTTGATTTTTCAACTTCCAAAGCTTTTCTGCTTTAATTTTTTTGTCCATAAAGCCAAGGCTGAAATCAGAATGAAAGCTTTCAGTTTAAGCTAATTAATCCAAACACTTTGAATCAAAGCCTGGGATGTTTGCACAGTGGTGTTCTCTGGGAATTTATTTTCAGGGTCTGCATTCCATTTTTAGACTGAGGAACAAAAAAAAAAAGAGTGAGATTTCCTAGAAAAGAGATAACCTGCTGCTTACCTGGGGCGAGCCATTCTGCAGCTTACCAGTGGAAAAAGAAATTAGCTCTCATTAATTACAGCATTTGGCCTCCTCCTGAGGATCTGGAGACCTGGCCTGAGCTCCAGCCCCTGGAGGTGCCCTAAATTCCCCCAGAATCACCCTGATTCCCAGCTTTCCCATGGAATAATTGGAGGAAGGAAAGGAAAACCGAATGATTGTGATGATAATAATAATAATAAACTGCAGCAATAAGAAAGCAGCAGCGTTTCCCAAGGTGAATTGCTCCTTCTGAGCAGGGGGTGCTCCCTGAGGAGCCCTGGGAAGGCAGGAGGGATTCCAGGCAAATTCCAGGAGTGCAGAGATGCCAGAGCTGGGATTCCCACAGGTGCTTCATGCTGGGCAAGGCTGGCCATGAGCATCTCATGATCCCAACCCAAGGTGGGGAATTCCTCCTTCCAGCAGCCCTCGCTGCTCCAGGGCAACTTCCAAGAGAAAATTAAAATTAACCCTGACCTCCCCTGCCCTTTAGTGGGGTGAACCCAGTGGGAAAGCAGGGCAGGAACCTCAGGCTGGAACTGAGCTCGCTGTGCCAGGCAGGAGATGCCAGCTGGGCTCGGCAGGGTGGCTGTCCCCAAAAAGGGTCCCTCTGTCACCTGTGGGGTGTGAGCCAGAAATGAAGCAGCCCTGAGCTCGGCTGGACTTTTCCAGAGGGGTCCAGGATGAATGATCTGCAGGTTTTAGAGAAAAAAACCTGACTTTCCATGCCTTTAAACCTTTACCATCACTCCTCCATCAGTCCAGGTCATGCAGCACCTCTCCTCTCCTGGTGTCTGGGTCTTTCAGGAGGGAATGTGAACATTCCTGATGTGCAGAGCTTCTGCAGGACTTGTTTTGACTCACCTGCTGTTGGTTTGGGAATATTTGCTGCATTTTGCTGACCCAGAGACAGCCTTGGTGAGGATAAGAAGGGAGGAGGATGCAGGAGCCAAAGGATGGAGCCGTCCCTTTGTGGCTTTGCAGGATGGCTACAGGTACAGATGGGCTGTGGTGCATCAGCTTTCCCTGGAGCACATCCAGATCCCACCCATCCTCCACTGCCTGGGTGCTTTTTTCACTGCCTCTCTGCACAGCACTAAAATTAATGCCTGCAAATGAGAGTTTGCTTGAAAATAATCTATCATTTGATTATCACTTTAATGCAGGCAGCCCGGGGAACATCTGCCTCTGCCAGGCTGTGTCTCCTCCTGCTGATGTGGGGAATTGCTGGGAAAATTGCTGGGGAAACTGGAAGGAAGCCAAACCACTGGCAAATGCCTTGGTGGTGGCTGTGAGGAGGAGGAGGATGAGAGGGGACCTTTGCTAGACGAGGCACCAGGGCCCCAGTTCAGTGCCTCTGGTCCCAGAGTCCCTCTGTGGTCCAGGGACTCACAAATTAAAATGTTCATCTCCATCGCATAGAGAATAATTCTGTCATCACTAGGAGCTCCTGGCTTCGTGCTGGGGCAGGGGGCAGCAGGATCTGACCATTGCTGCCCTCACCCCTGCCAGGTCCCACCTCCCAGGGGAGCCAGGGACAAGAGAAAAGCGGATGGGAGCTGCCCAGCGAGGCAGGATTTCCTCCACCCCATGACACAGCCCATGTGCCGTGGTAGAATGGGGTCTGCAGCCCCCTTAGGCTCCTCTGCTGCCTTTTGGGAACATCACAGCCCCGGACTTAGAGGCTTTTTTTGGAAAATGTCACCAGCTTGTGATGAGTCAGTGGTGCCTCTGTGCAGCCTGCCCACAGCCTGGCGTGGGGCTGTCCCCACGGGCATCTCCCCGCTGCTCTTTGCGCTCAGATCTCGCTGCCGAGAGAGGAGAGCCTTTGCTGGCAGCTCGGGGGCAGGAGCTGAGCCGGGGGCTGGGGCTGCCAGCGCCGCGTTTGGCCAGCTGGAGCCTCAGGGACAGACGGACACGGCCGTGCCGCAGCAGCCGCGGGCAGGGACCGCAGCTGCCATCCCCGGCCCAGGCATTTCCAGCCCTCCGGGGATCCTCAGAGCCCGGCAGCAAAGGCTGTGCACCCAAATGACTCCCAGTGGGAGGGAAGGGGGTGGGAGAGCGCAGGGAGAGCGCTGGAAGCCGGTCCTGCACACGCGGCTCCGTGTGTGCGGCATCCAGGTGTGATGGAAGGGATGCTCCGGCTCCAAATCAACCCGAAATGCCAGAGCTGAGGCTGCTGGGGGACCCTGCCCGCTGTGCCTCGAGGACAAGGGTGGTTTTGTGCTATTTTAACTCTCCTAAGTCTGCCTCACCCAGCTCTGGGTCCTGCTATCGATGTTCCCCTTGCAGCCTCACCGTTCCTCATCTGATCCCCTTCCCTGTGGGAGCAGGATGGAGCTGCTCCTCCAGCCCTGGGGACCAAATCCCCTCCCAGGGACAGCAGCTGAGCACAGCCTGGCATGGAAACACACGGCAGAGACACACGGAGAGGAGCTGAGCCTGATTCCTCAGAATTCCTGTGCAGGTGTGGCACAAGAGGTGTTTGAGCCCAGCTCCCGGTGTTTCCATGTGCAAACAGCAGCTTCCAGCTCTCCCGCTGGTGTCAGGTGTCAGGGAAAGAAGGAACACAGGGATTCGGGAGATGGGGGAAGTTCGGTTCAGGTGACTCTCAGCATCTTAAAAGCGCAGGGGAGCCCTTACAAGTGTCCAGGGAAAGAAAATGAAATGAAATCAGCACCTTTTTCACCTCTGTCCTCTTATCTCCATCACTCCTGCTCCTTTTCCTGCGCACAGCCTGAGCTCTGTGGGACCTGCAGGTGCTGAATGGAGCAGGAACCTTGTGGGAAAAACACATCCAGTAATTGCTGTGGAAATTCGTGTTGCAGCGCACAGACACAAAGGGATGAAAGGAGGCTGCCTTAACATCCTGACATTTCCTCCTTGCTCACTTCTTGTCTCAGGCATCCCGAACATCCTCTTAGGGCAGCTTTTGCAGGCAGTTCCCTCAGACAAAGGGAAGGAAATGGGATTTCCAAAACGCTCTGGGACGGCGCTGATGGCGAGGGGCTCTGAGCAGCGCCCAGGAGCTGCCGGCAGAGCTGGGGAGGTGCCGAGGGTCAGAGCTCCTTGTGCCACCTCCCCAGCACCAAAACTCACAGATGCCACTGCAGGGAGCACCCGGCACCCTGCCCACCCCCTTCCCCACTGAGCACCTCTGGGACCACCCAGCTGGGCAGGGCATGGAAGGGCAGAGGTTCTGCACTGGTGCTCCCTGAGCTCCACCAGAGCACCCCATCCTCCAGTGCAGCCCTCTGCACCCCCAGCCTGCCTGTGCTGGAAATTTCAAGTTGTTCTAAAGGCAGCAAGTTAACAAGATGTGGAAACCAGGTCAGCGGAAGAAGCTCAATTAGCTGCTGAACCGTGGGGACCAGCTCATGTCGTGGCTGCTTTATTGACTCCTCAGAGGGGTGTCATTGACACCACACACGTCAGCCTGGCTGGGACGGGGACCTTCCCTGAGGAGGGGACACCTGGACACTCATCAGGCACAGGAAACTTTACAAAAGGCCAAACTCAGTGCAGCCTGAGCCATCCCACCGTGCTGTGTCATGGAATCACCACAGAATGGCCTGGGTTGGAAAGGATCTTCAAGATCATCCATGGGCAGGGACACCTTCCATTGGCTCAGAGCTCCATCCAGCCTGGCCTTGGACACTTCCAGGGATGGGGCAACCACAGCTGCTCTGGCCACCCTGTGCCAGGGCCTCCCCACCCTCACAGGGAGGAATTTCTTCCCAATATCTAATCTAAACCTCCTCTAGAGCCACTCCCTCTCGTCCTGTCACTACACGCTCTTGTAAACAGCATCTCTCAATCTTTCTTGTACCAGCAGCTCTGTTCCCCCAGCCCTGCAGGAACCTCCAGGCTCCCACTCCCACTGCTCGTCCTGCTCTTCCCTGATGCCTCAGGGGTGGGGACAGCCAGAGGGGACAGGCAGCAGGGCTTGCAGAGAGCTGGCAGCACCGGCACAGCTCATGCGACCTGCTACCTGTCTTGTCACGTCAGCACCGACATCTGCTGCAAATCAAACAGCGAGAGAAAGGCGAAGCCAAAGGGCCTCTCTGAGCAGCTCTCCAGCCCCGGCAGAGACGCGGCGCCTGTCACGCTGCATGAAAAACCTCTTTCATTAGCGGCAGGGCTGGAGCTCAGCTCCTGGAATCGCAGCAAGAACCGCAGCTCGGAATCCCAGCGCAGCCTCCGCAGGCAGGCGGGCACAGCCCCGGCTCTGCGGGCACCTGGGCACGGCTCTGCTCTGACACAGAGCGTTTCACCCACAGAGCCAGGAGCTCAGGGCTCGGCAGCCCTTGCAGGGATCCTGAGGAGCTGCCAGCAGGGAAGGCTGCTCTGATCCCGAGGGAAGAGCCCCTCTCCGTCCTGCACCCTCAGCTCCCCTCCCGATCCCTCCACGCCCAGGCTGCCGGGAGAGCTGGGGGTGCCAGCCTGGACAGCTGCGGGAGGGAATCTTGGCACTGGAGGAAATGCGGTTTCCTGCATAAACACATCCCTCTGGCCCGGGACAGCATTTCTGGGATGTTCAGCCACGGCGGGGCCAGGCTGGGGGGCAAACAGTGCGGGGCAGGCACCCAGAGCTGGGCAGGAGCCCTGCGGCAAGGAGGGAGCAGCCAGGGGGCTCAGGGGCTGCAGGCAGGGCAGGGAGCAGGGCAGGNCCCTGCCAGCCGTGACCTTGGCATCCGCCGGCCCTGGGGACAGCCGCCGCGGGATGCGTTAGGCGGCGGATCGCACGGGAATATTCCTCCCGGCAGCCTCCTCCCGCGGCAGGAAAAGCGGATTTAAAGAGCATCTTTGCCCCTTTGTTGGATGAGAAGGACGGGGAAGGAGCGGCAGGATGAGCACTAGCAGTGAGTACGGCGTCCTCTCGCCCGGGCTGTGGGAATGGGGCTGATACCGCACCGAGCTGGCTGGGAGGAATTGGAAAGAAAATGTCATAACAGCGCTGACAAGCCTGGTGGGATGGAATTTTGGGTTATTTTCCTGCCTGCCTTTTGCCTGCCTGCTTTCTGACAGGCTCTGGCTCGGCTGTGTGTGATGTGGGCTGAGCCGTGGTGCTTATCTCCACGGAGTACTTTTCTTGGCTTGGATTTCTGGGGTTTTGGAGGGCAGAGCATCGACTGAAATGTCGATACGCAACATGGTGAGAGGCAGCCAGGAGCGCTCTGACAGGCACAGCCTCACTTGCTGCTGCCTCTGCCTGGGAAGAAATGGAGGAGGAGAAGGGTGAGGAGAGACCCAGAAAGCTGAGCAAAGCACAGGTGCAATCCTGAAAAAAAACCCCAAAAAAACCTTCTGCAGCTGGGGATGTGGGTGTTCCTATTGTGCGTGTGAGACAGGGACGGAGGCACTCATGCGCTGAGGATGAATTTCTAAAGAAGCAGAGCTCGGAAATGTGCTGCCTAAGATGAGAACTGGCACCAGGCTGCTCACTTTGGATTCTGTGCCCTTGCTGGAAAGTCTGGGAAGATTGATCGGGGTTGAGGAAGTCACAATCAATTTATTTTTCCTACCTGACGTGCCGTGTGACAGCTGTGCCCACCTTGCTGGCACGGCTTTGATCCCTTCCTGTAAAAGCAGCAAGTCCCCGGCAAAGGAGTTGATGCTGATGGCCACCTGAGGGGCTTCCTCCTGGGATAACCTCTCCAGGGAAGCCCCCCTGCCCCTCCCGTGGGTCCTGGAGCTGTGTGAGGAGCGGAGCCCTCCCCCAGGCACAAAACAGCAGAGCAGCAACTTCTCCATTGCATTGGCGTGCTGAGGTTTCTCAATCCGAGGGCTTGGGGTGGTTCCCGAGCAAAACACCGTGAAAAATGCCTTGGCACGCTGCGAGGCAACAGAACAGGTGATTCCAGCTCTGTTGGGCTGTGTCAGAGGCAAGGAAACTTTCCAGGTGCCCTGTGCCCAAGCCACACCTGGGACAGGAGCAAGGCCCCGTCCCGGGGGAGCAGGGCTGGCTCTGCCTAGGTGGGAAACAATAGGGACTGATTCTTTCCGAGTCTGCAGGATGCCTGATAACAAAGGGTCCTCCCTCTGCTCCTCTGGAGGAGCAGCTCAGGGCTGATGCAGAGAACTGCTGGGATCAGTGGCCACCGTGGTCAGGTGGGACTGCTAAGCTTCCTCTAAGCCAATTTTGCCAAATGCCTGTTGGTTCCTTTTGGGATTCCTTCCCAGCTCTTAATAGCTGGCTTGGCTGCTGCTGGAGATAAGGGCTGTTCGTGGCCCTGGTGTGTTCCAAAGATCTGATTGTGCTGCAAAACTCCTTCAGCACGGCGAGGTGCCAGGGAGCCAAGCTGTGCTGCCTGTGCCCTGCCTTGTGGGGAGCCTGCTGGGCACAGCCAGGGCTCCCCTGGGAGCTGCTCCTCCTTCTGCCTTGGTGGCCCTGGGCACATCACTCAGCAGCTGCCAGGGCTCTTGTTGAGCCCTCTGGGTGGCTTTGCAGTCTTTGCTTAAATTGCCATTACTCCATTTTAAGTAGCCCCGTGTTTCACTCAAGGCAGCTCTGTGACATCTCCCGGTCACTCACGGTGCTGGGGGTCAGTGATTTATGGGTCACTCCGGGTCCCTTTGGATGTGCAAACCCTGCTGGGTGCTGGCTCTGCCCTGTTGGGCTCTCAGTTGTTTTCCCAGCAGCTGGAGCGCTCCGAGCAGGGCTTGGATGCCCAAATGCAGCTTCATTTGTGTTCCCAGCAATGGCTGTGTGAGCCAGGCCGGGCTGCGGGGCCATCTCTGCCGTCAGCATGTTCTGGGACTGGTGTGAACACTGCCAAAAGCTCTGGGCATCCCTCCCCAGCCTCAATTCCAGCTGCCCACAAGGCACAAAACCCCAAATCCTGGGAACCTTGTGTCAGTGCCATCTCTGTTTCACCCCGTGATGCCACCTGGCACTGACCTAGCGTGGCTTTTTTACCCCTTAACAATGGTCAGCGGCTCGGTGGAGTTTGGTGCCACTTGTCAGAGGCCTCCCAGCATGGGCAGATCTGTTGATTTGATTTTTTTGGCTGCTTTTCCCCCCAGGACAAGGGCTGAAGAAGCCAGATTGTGCACAAATTTATGATGTCCAGGTGTGCTTGTGCCTGCAGGGCTAAAATTTTGGGGCTGGCAAAACAAGGAGACACACAGCTGAGGATAAAATGCCACCATCTGATCTGTGAATTCCCACCACTGCTCCCCATTTCTCTGGGTGTTTTGTTAACGCTCCTCTCCTGCCTGAAGCTGATGTGAGGCAGGAAACCTGTGGCTGTGGGCCACGGCTGGCCCCAAGCCACGCTGCTGAGCAAATCTGCGAGGCCTCCAGGAGCTCTGGGCAGGATTTGCTGGGTTTATCTCTGGAGATGCTCCGTGCACAGCACCCTGGAGCCTCACCAGCACTGCTGAGGGGACAGGGGGATGCTTTTCCCTCTGGATTTGAAGACCCCGTGTCCTCATCTGTCCCACAATGAAGGCAAACCCAGATGAAAATTTTGTATTTGAGGTGAAGAGATAAAACCACTCGACGTTGGGCATAAACTCCTATCCTGAGGCTGCAGAGCAGCTCAGGTGGCCCTGAGGGTGGAAGGGTGGGAAGGTGGCCTCTGCTCCAGGGGTTCCAGGTGTGCAGTGAGGGTTTGGAGGGCACAGTGTTGGTGTTTACATTCGTTAGGCTATCACTGCCTCTCACTAATTGCTTACAAAATGAATCTCTACCTCAGCAAACAGGTCTGTGGTGCTGCTTGGTATTTCCATGGGAGCTGGAGCTTGTAGGACAAACCCTTAAAATCCCTTCCGAGCATCTCCCTCGGAATCTGGGCGGGGAGTTTGAGGTGACCAGCGCTGTGCTCGTGCTGAAAGGGTTAAAGCTGTCACTGCCCCGAGGATTTCAGCCTCTGAAATGAGTGGGAAGAATCCCTTCTGCTGCTTTGGAGGGAGCCAGCAGCTCTGGGTGCTGCAGGTGCACGGAGTGCTGGCTGAGTCACCCCGTGGGATTTGCACATCATCCCTTTTGGCCCAGCTCCTCTGGGGTGGGAGAGGGGCTGCTGCCAGCCCAGGCACTGCTTTTGGCAGGAGCAAGGTGCCCCTGGCTGTGCTGGGTCCCACAAGGGACATCCCAGCTCCTGGGGAGGTGAAACCCTGGAGAGCTCCCTGCTCCAGCCAGGTTTGGCAGGATCTGGATCACTGTGGCACTGGGTGATAGGGGCTGGTTCACAAAGCAGGGATCTCCCAGATTCCCTTCTGTCCCCAACGCACACCTGGGAAAAAGGAGGCCAGAATCTGATGGCAAGTCAGCTCAGGGTGGGCTGAGCCATTTCTCCCCATCCCTGGAGCAGCTGGGAGCCTGTTGGAGCACGGAGAGCTCCCGAAGAAGGTTTGGTATGCCAAGTGGAAAGTTTCACCCCTTCCCCTGCCACCTCTCAAATTCCTGCTGAGAGGCACCCCCTACTCTGAGTAAGAGCTGTGAGGAGAGGCTGGACAGCGAAGCATTTGGGAAGGGAGGCTTCCTGACAGATCCTGATGAATGCAACATGTTTGCCTGGTTATTTTTGTCTTCCCTAAATCATGCTTGCTCTTAGATCGTGATCCTCTAAGCGTAATTACCCCCTAATCTCCAGGCACATGTGGTTACAAGGTGTTTACCAGCAAACTCCATTAAGGCCCTGTGTAATTAAAGAGGAATCCCGTGGTGCTGCCCATCGCTGGGAGCTCCAGCTCTGCTCCTCAGGCAGGTGATTCACCAGGTGTCCCCACCCTTTGGGGCAGGAGCTGGGAGGGTCCTGCAGGGAGTTCTTTCCAGCCTTCAGAAATGCAGGGAAGCCGGAGGAATCAGCCTGTCCATGTCAGGAGCAGGGTGTTTTCCAGAATTTGGGCACCATGGGGAGCTCCCAGACTCCCTGCCTACATTTTAGTCCTCTCAGTACCCTGACACACAACAAATCATTCCCTGTTTTCCTGGGAAGCCTAGCAGAGGAACAATCGCCCATTGCATTCACTTTGCTGCCAGAGAATTCCGATCCTGGGCAGCAGCTCTGTCCCTGGGCTGGTGGATGGGCTCTGTCCTCTCTCCAGGCTTCATCCAGGCTCTTTCAAACCCTCATTCCTGGCAGCTGGCCCTTGGAGAAGAGCAGGAGCCACGGCAAGCGGCCCTGCAGGCCTTGGAGTGAGCTCTGTAAGGTCAATTGAAGCGATTGAATTCTTTCAAGGGCCTAGCGTGCTCTTCTGAAATAAAGAGCACATTTTCTAATCATCAAGTGATGACTGGTTTAGCAGGATAACAGTGTTTGGGATGCCAGCAGGCTGATGACAGGAGTCCATGTGCTGCTGCCTTTGCTGGCAGGGAGGGAAGAAAAACCCACCCAGACCCTGCGGTCCTGTCGTGATGGGGCCATCACGAAGTGCTCAGAACACCTCATCTGATATTTTTAGTTCTTAAATCCATCAGTGCCTGAGTTGTGAGCGCTGCAGCACCTCCAGAAAGCATCTGGGGGTGGAGTGGTCATGGCAAGAGCTGGGCTGAGGAATGATGGATGAAAAGGATGCAGGAATGGAGGGAAGGCTGAGGGATTTTGGCTGTGGGCAAGGCTGGCAGGGGGACTGGAAGCCGGGAGCAGGGAAGTTAGTGGTGCCAAGTCCCCTTGTGGCCAGCCCCTCTGGAGCCAGGGGGCTCAGTGCATCCCTGGGGGAGCAGAACAGCTGGAATGCACTCCCCCACAGCCCCCAGGAACGCTCCTGGCTTTCAGGAAAGGCTGACTGAGGCTTTAGAGGCCCAAAGCCAGCTCTCCCAGGAGCAAACTCGGCTGCACAGGTCCCATTTATTTGCTGGTGGCTCAGGTATTTGATAGGCCTCCATTTCTGTGTGCATTTTTCAGCTCAGGTGGAG